AAGAAAGTCAATGGTAGCTTGATGGGGATAGCGTTGATTCTGTAAATTACTTTGGGCAGTATAGCCATTTTCACGATATTAATTCTTCCTAACCATGAACATGGAATGTTTCTCTATCTGTTTGTGTCCTCTCTTATTTCGTTGAGCAGTGGTTTGTAGTTCTCCTTGAAGAGGTCCCTTACGTTCCTTGTGAGTTGTATTCCAAGGTATTTTATTCTTTTTGTAGCAATTGTGAATGGCAGTTCGTTCTTGATTTGGCTCTCTTTATGTCTGTTATTGGTGTAGACGAATGCTTGTGATTTTTGCACACTGATTTTATATCCCGAGACTTTGCTGAAGTTGCTTATCAGTTTCAGGAGTTTTTGGGCTGAGGTGATGGGGTCTTCTAGGTATACTATCATGTCGTCTGCAAATAGAGACAATTTGGCTTCCACCTTTCCTATTTGAATACCCTTTATTTCTTTTTCTTGCCTGATTGCTCTGGCTAGAACTTCCAGAACTATATTGAATAGGAGTGGTGAAAGAGGGCATCCTTGTCTAGTGCCAGATTTCAAAGGGAATGCTTCCAGTTTTTGCCCATTCAGTAAGATATTGGCTGTTAGTTTGTCATAAATAGCTTTTATTACTTTGAGATACGTTCCATCGATACCGAGTTTATTGAGGGTTTTTAGCATAAAGGGCTGTTGAATTTTGTCAAATGCCTTCTCTGCATCAATTGAGATAATCATGTGGTTTTTGTTTTTGGTTCTGTTTATGTGGTGAATTACGTTTATAGACTTGCGTGTGTTGAACCAGCCTTGCATCCCCGGGATGAATCCTACTTGATCATGGTGAATAAGTTTTTTGATTTGCTGTTGCATTCGGCTTGCCAATATTTTATTGAAGATTTTTGCATCTATGTTCATCATGGATATTGGCCTGAAGTTTTCTTTTCTTGTTGGGTCTCTGCCGGGTTTTGGTATCAGGATGATGTTGGTCTCATAAAATGATTTGGGAAGTATTCCCTCTTTTTGGATTGTTTGAAATAGTTTTAGAAGGAATGGTACCAGCTCCTCTTTGTGTGTCTGGTAGAATTCGGCTGTGAACCCGTCTGGACCTGGGCTTTTTTTGTGTGGTAGGCTCTTAATTGCTGCCTCGACTTCTGACCTTGTTATTGGTCTATTCATAGTTTCAGCTTCCTCCTGGTTTAGGCTTGGGAGGACACAGGAGTCCAGGAATTTATCCATTTCTTCCAGGTTTACTAGTTTATGTGCATAGAGTTGTTTGTAATATTCTCTGATGATGGTTTGAATTTCTGTGGAATCTGTGGTGATTTCCCCTTTATCATTTTTTATTGCCTCTATTTGGTTGTTCTCTCTTTTATTTTTAATCAGTCTGGCTAGTGGTCTGTCTATTTTGTTGATCTTTTCAAAAAACCAGCTCTTGGATTTATTGATTTTTTGAAGGGTTTTTCGTATCTCAATCTCCTTCAGTTCAGCTCTGATCTTAGTTATTTCTTGTCTTCTGCTGGGTTTTGAGTTTTTTTGGTCTTGGTCCTCTAGCTCTTTCAATTTTGACGATAGGGTGTCAATTTTGGATCTCTCCATTCTCCTCATATGGGCACTTATTGCTATATACTTTCCTCTAGAGACTGCTTTAAATGTGTCCCAGAGGTTCTGGCATGTTGTGTCTTCGTTCTCATTGGTTTCGAAGAACTTCTTTATTTCTGCCTTCATTTCATTGTTTACCCAGTCAACATTCAAGAGCCAGTTGTTCAGTTTCCATGAAGCTGTGCGGTTCTGGGTTGGTTTCTGTATTCTGAGTTCTAACTTGATTGCACTATGGTCTGAGAGGCTGTTTGTTATGATTTCAGTTGTTTTGCATTTGTTGAGCAGTGCTTTACTTCCAATTATGTGGTCAATTTTTGAGTAGGTGTGATGTGGTGCTGAGAAGAATGTATATTCTGTGGATTTGGGGTGGAGAGTTCTGTAAATGTCTATCAGGTTTGCTTGCTCCAGGTCTGAGTTCAAGCCCTGGATATCCTTGTTGATTTTCTGTCTGGTTGTTCTGTCTAATATTGACAGTGGAGTGTTAAAGTCTCCCACTATTATTGTGTGGGAGTCTAAGTCTCTTTGTAAGTCATTAAGAACTTGCCTTATGTATCTGGGTGCTCCTGCATTGGGTCCATATATGTTTAGGATCGTTAGCTCTTCTTGTTTTATCGATCCTTTTACCAGTATGTAATGGCCTTCTTTGTCTCTTTTGATCTTTGTTGCTTTAAAGTCTATTTTATCAGAGATGAGAATTGCAACTCCTGCTTTTTTTTGCTCTCCATTTGCTTGGTAAATCTTCCTCCATCCCTTTATTTTGAGCCTTTGTGTATCCTTGCATGTGAGATGGGTTTCCTGGATACAGCACACTGATGGGTTTTGGCTTTTTATCCAATTTGCCAGTCTGTGTCTTTTGATTGGTGCATTTAGTCCATTTACATTTAGGGTTAATATTGTTATGTGTGAATTTGATACTGCCATTTTGATGCTAAGTGGCTGTTTTGCCTGTTAGTTGTTGTAGAATCTTCATTATGTTGATGCTCTTTAACTTTTAGTGTGATTTTGGAATGGCTGGTACTGGTTGTTCCTTTCTATGTGTAGTGCCTCTTTTAGGAGCTCTTGTAAAGCTGGCCTGGTGGTGACAAAATCTCTGAGTACTTGCTTGTTCGCAAAGGATTTTATTTTTCCTTCACTTCTGAAGCTCAGTTTGGCTGGATATGAAATTCTGGGTTGAAAGTTCTTTTCTTTAAGAATGTTGAATATTGGCCCCCACTCTCTTCTGGCTTGTAGTGTTTCTGCCGAGAGATCTGCTGTGAGTCTGATGGGCTTCCCTTTGTGGGTAACTCGACCTTTCTCTCTGGCTGCCCTTAGTATTCTCTCCTTTATTTCAACCTTGTTGAATCTGACGATTATGTGCCTTGGGGTTGCTCTTCTTGCAGAATATCTTTGTGGTGTTCTCTGTATTTCCTGCATTTGAGTGTTGGCCTGTCTTGCTAGGTGGGGGAAGTTTTCCTGGATGATGTCCTGAAGAGTATTTTCCAGCTTGGATTCATTCTTTTTGTCCCCTTCTGGTACACCTATCAAACGTAGATTAGGTCTTTTCACATAGTCCCACATTTCTTGGAGACTTTGTTCATTCCTTTTTGCGCTTTTTTCTCTAATCTTGGTTTCTCGTTTTATTTCATTGAGTTGGTCTTCGACTTCAGATATTCTTTCTTCTGCTTGGTCAATTCGGCTATTGAAACTTGTGCATGCTTCACAAAGTTCTCATATTGTGTTTTTCAGCTCCTTTAATTCATTCATATTCCTCTCTAAGTTATCCATTCTTGTTATCATTTCCTCATATCTTAAGTTCCTTAGTTTCTTCGCATTGATTTAATACATGTTCTTTTAGCTCACAAAAGTTTCTCATTATCCACCTTCTGAAGTCTAATTCCGTCATTTCATCACAGTCATTCTCCGTCCAGCTTTGCTCCCTTGCTGGTGAGGAGTTTTGGTCCTTTCTAGGAGGCGAGGTGTTCTGGTTTCGGGTGTTTTCCTCCTTTTTTCGCTGGTTTCTTCCCATCTTTGTGGGTTTATCCGCTTGTCGTCTGCGTAGTTGCTGACTTTTCGATTGGGTCTCTGAGTGGACACCCAGATTGTTGATGATGAAGTATTTCTGTTACTTGGTTTTCCTTCTACCAGCCTAGCCCCTTCACTGTATGACTGCTGAGGTCCACTCCGGGCCCTGCTTGTCTGGGGTGCACCTCTAGCAGCTGTGGCACAGTGAGGGATGCTACCCGTTTCTTTTTCTGCTATCTTTGTCCCAGGATGATGCCTGCCAAATGTCAGTCTTTTGGATATAGAGGGGTCAGGGAGCTGCTTGAGGAGACAGTCTGAACTTTTTTGGAGCTCAATTGCTGAGCTGTGAGCTCTGTTGTTCATTCAGGACTGTTAGGCTGCTATGTTTGATTCTGCTGCAACAGAGCTCATTAAAAAAACCCTTTTTTTTCTCAAATGCTCTGTGTTGGGGGGTTCGGGCTTTATTTTTCGATGTCCGATGAGGTGTCCTGCCCAGCTAGAAGGCAGACTAGCCACTGTTTGGCTGCCAAGGCTCCGCCCTGCTGTTGCGTGATTCGCCCTGTTTCTGCAGGCTCTGCTGTGGTCTCTGCCATGCCCTGCGGCGGAGTCTCTTCGTTGTAGCGTGTTGCCTCAGCAATGGCAGGCTGCGTCAGCAGTGGGCGTGTATCTCAGTAGGGACGGGTTGCCTCGGCAACGGCTGGCTGCGTCAGCAGTGGGCGTGTATCTCAGTAGGGACGGGTTGCCTCGGCAACGGCTGGCTGCGTCAGCAGTGGGCGTGTATCTCAGTTGGGGCGGGTTGCCTCGGTAGTGGTGGACGCCCCTCCCCCACAGAGCGTCTCGGACCGTCTGCTTGGGATAGTTTGAAATTGCGGTTTTGTTCATCCCACTGGGTGTCCCAAATGATCTGTCCCTGCAATCCCCTGGGCTAGCCTACTGTCCAAGTCTCGTTCAGTCTCAAGTCCAGCCCTCTCAAGTCTCAGGTTGCCGGTTCAACAGGGCACCCGGACAAGCGCGCCCTGTGGGGATTGCTGGGTAGGGCCGGCCGCCGCCGCTCCGGCTGCCGGCTTCGCCAGGCAGACCTACTGCCTGGCATCCTGTGTCTTTTTTATACTTGGGAGTTTCCCCGTTCTGTGGGCAACAAAGATCAGTCTGGAAATGCAGCTCCGACTCACCGTTTGCAGATTCAACGAGAGCTCCAATCCTGGGTTGTTCTCACAGCGCCATCTTGAGTCCTCGGCCCTGCCTCAGCTTTTCAAGTAGCTGGGACTAAAAGCGCATACTACTACACCTGTATTATTTTTATATTTCCATAGAGACAAGGTCTCACTATGTCACCCAGGCTGACATCAAAAGTATTTAGCTGAAAGGTGCCTAAGTGAAGGTGACAGGCAGCTGACAGCCGGAAGGAAAATGAGTGAGTCTTTGGTGGTTTGTGATGTTGCTGAAGATTTAGCGGAAAAGCTGAGAAAGTTTCGTTTTTGCAAAGAAACGAACAATGCTGCTATTATAATGAAGATTGACAAGGATAAGTGCCTGGTGGTACTGGATGAGGAACTTGAGGGCATTTCACCAGATGAACTTAAAGACGAACTACCTGAACGACAACCTCGCTTCACTGTGTATAGTTATAAATATCAACATGACAATGGAAGAGTTTCATATCCTCTGTGCTTTATTTTCTCCAGTCCTGTTGGTTGTAAGCCTGAACAACAGATGATGTATGCTGGGAGTAAGAATAAGCTAGTCCAGACAGCTGACCTAACCAAGGTATTTGAAATAAGAAATACCGAAGACCTAACTGAAGAATGGTTATGTGAGAAACTTGGATTTTTACACAATATGAACTTCTGTGTTTTTAAAGTATTTATGTATTAACCTTACCATTCTGGAACCAGACATAAATACTTATTTATGCCTAAAAATGCACTGTTACTTACAGTTTGTTTCCTGCAGTAAAGAAAAATTCATTTGTGCAAAGTTTGAACAAAGAGGAAATCATCTTCGTGGTAATGAAACTTTGTAAAGTGTCTCCTTATTTTGGTAATTGTTAGGTGGACTACTTTTCCCCAGGGACTTTTTGCACTCTTGTGACTAATTTCTATAACTTAAGGTTCAGAATTTGTTACTATTTACAGACAACATTGGAGAGTGGATATATTAGATTGTGAGAGACAATTGCCTTCTTTTGACAAATACTGGATATTAGCAGTTTATTTATGAAAATAGCATATTATCACTTGTCAAATCATTGAAATTAATTTGGGGTCAAAAACTTGAGTGACCCAGGATTGAGCCATGAGTAATTTACTGTAGTGTAACCTGCATTACAAGTACATTGATCAATTCTGTATCTTCTTTGGTTCCTATCTCTTTTTAATCTAGTCTAGAAACTATGTTCATCACTCATTTTTAAGGTCGGGAAGTTAGATTTTATGATAGAGTTATGACTGTTAGCTTTTCTCTTTATGGAAAATAGCATCTTAGCCTTAGAAACTGGTGGATTGTAATAATCAAGGGCTTCATTCCTTTTATGTCATTTCTAGACTGTTTTGGATCTAGGTTAATAACACTTACTTATAAAGCACCTCTTAATGTCCTATGAACACTAATTATTTTAAATGTGTTAATACTGTGCCTTTGATTTGTTAGCTTTAAAGTTAGTTTAAGACTTTTACACTGCCAGTATTCCAGATTTGGTGAAATTAATACTTTTTTAAAGGGTCCAAATAAAATAATTTTCTAATGTGTATATCTGAAATTTGTAATAAAGTCAACTTCATATTTTAAAAATTCAAAAAACAAAACAAAACAAAAGGTAAAAAGACAAACATAATTTCTAAGAGGTGCTGTAAATTGTATAAAGCAAGAGTATCACTGTTACTTCGTTTGTGTAAAAAAGTCATTTAAACAATAAATTCAATTTTTAACACCAATATCTCTTTCTTCATATAATATTAAACTAAATTCTTACCTCTCATCAACTGAGGGTTCTTTTTGTTGTAAATGAGGCTTGATTCCAAACATTGGGCGAATATTTGTTGATAAGGCTCTGATGGTGTAACTGATTTCATTCTCCTTTGTAACATCACTGTCATAGCCTACCATTAAAATACACGAGTTATTCTTAAGCAATAACTGAGATCAATTATGATCTTATAAATTGGGTACAAAGATGTTCAACAATATGAAATAAATTAGTTATAAGCAAATTATGAAGTAATAGGCAACCAGAAAAAAGATGTAGAATATTTATATATAATCATGTTTTCAAAGTATTACTAAGTAATAATAGCAGGTTAAAAAGTTCATGAAAATCAACAGGAAGAAGCAGATAGAGAAAAAAAAGTAAGTTTAATACAATCACACTTTTCTTAAAAAATATTAGCTACATACATTTTAGGATACATTCCAAATGTTAAAAAAGGTGTTACCTGTGAGGTCAAATTATGGAGGCTGTGTTTAATTTTTATGGAAAAATATATTTTCTTTAATGAACTGGTATTACTGGTATATTAGAAGAAAATCAAAATTTTAAAATATGATGTGTAATAATATTTACTATAACAGCATATATTTAAAATTAAGATATTCTTTGTTTGCAGATAAATAGTATCTAAGTCATAAATACATGCCAACCTGTTGTTCTTGAGTCACAAAACTGATTTTGATATTAAACAGACTAAAAACAGTAACACTGCAATTATTCAAACATTATTATTACTTGATTTAACTTCTACGGCTTACATAAGTTGTGCTAAATTTTTCCTATATTTTTGTTAAAGTATTATAAAATAACATACCCCCGTCTTCTTCAGAATCAATGTCGGATTCTTCACTATCACAAGGCCTTTTTTCTCGATAGGCTTCCATCTCATTTGACCACACCATTAAAGACATATCTGTACCTCCCAGGGTAACCAACATGCTGTCATCGTAAGTCCAGCGAACATTTGTGACATGTGTACTATGGGCCACATACCTCTTGAACTTTCCAAATTTTCCCTAAAGAGGAAAAAAATTCAAACAATCTTTCTGAGAAATTTCATTATTTAACTAATTCCATGATAATTTTGATTTTATTTTAATAATTAGAAATTAATCATTTCAAGTGTAATGTGTTAAAAAAATGAGAAAATACTGAAACTAAGTAGAAAAAAAGATACCAATTCCTAAACCTGTTAAGGACAAGACATAAAACCAGTAGTTTCACAAAATGCTAGTACTCCAGGTAAAACTCTTTAAAAAACCAACTTGGTATTCTGCATTGAAAGTATAAAAATGTTCTTGTATTTGACTCACCCATCTCCCTTTTAGGGATCTATGCTAAGAAAATGCTATGTGTGCAAAAAAAAAAAAAAAAAAATACGGTATTTACTTATAGCAGTGAAAAAAATTAAATGCCTTAAATGTTCAAAGTAATAATTAATTACAATGTATATGGAGCAGTGTATATATATTAATGACAATGGTTATGCAGATGTATTACTGTTGGAAATAGATGCAATAATTGAGAAAGGATACACATGCCTATGTACAGCATAAATATGTTAACCAAAAGTAATTATCAATTGCTTTGGTACACATATATGTATATACCCATGTAAGTATCTTTCTTTCATCTTAATTCATTAGTGCTTTTCTTTGTAAGCAATACACACAGGAATGTATTTTCCTTTTAAATATCAATATAAATTTAAGTTATAAATACTGGCAACTTTAAAATCTAGCATTACCAAGTTACATAAATTTCAGATCAAAGCATCATAAGCAAGTTTTGTTAACATCTTTTCAAAGGTGTTAAAATGAGAGATGTCTTAAACAAAACGCAGTGATAGCAAAATTTATGAATTTCTTTTTTTTTTTTTTTTTTTTTTGAGACTGAGTCTCACTCTGTCACCAGGCTGGAGTGCAGTGGCACAATCTCGGCTCACTACAACCTCCAACTCCTGGGTTCAAGCAATTCTCCTACCTCAGCCTCCTGAGCAGCTAGGACTACAGGCACATGCCACCATCCCTGGCTAATTTTTTATATTTTTAATAGAGATGGGGTTTCACCGTGTTAGCCAGGATGTTCTCGATCTCACGACCAAGACCAAATGATCCGCCCACCTCAGCCTCCCAAAGTGCTGGGATTACAGGCATGAGCCACTTGGCTCACTGCAACCTCCACTTCCTGGTTCAAGCGATTCTCTGCCTTAGCCTCCCAAGTAGCTAGGACTACAGGCGACCGCCACCATGCCCAGCTAATTTTTTGTGTTTTTAATGGAAATGGGGTTTCACCATGTTGACAAGGCTGGTCTCCAACTCTTGACCTCAGGTGAACCACCCGCCTTGGCATCTCAAAGTACTGGGATCACAGACATAAGCCACTGCGCCCAGCAGGAATGATGACTCTTAATAAAAGTTAGGGCAAGGGATCTGCCATCAAAGCATAGCAAGAAGATAGTTTCTCTAAGACTGTGTGGTTCTTGATACACTAAGGTGAAAAGAATCTGTAGACCAATATTCCAGAACCTATTCCTAAAGGATCTACACCATTTGGAATGCTGGAAGTGAAATTTCTGACAAATATTTTAGTGGGACACATTCTTAACAACTAAGACTCTACCATTTATATGTATCTAAACAGGAATCTGTGAAATATTTTCTTGGGTGTCTGAGTGTTCAATGAGAATTTTTTAAACCTGTTTTTTCATGGCAATGTTGATCTAAAAATATTAACATAAGCAGTTACTTAAGATCACTATGAACTGAATACCACAATATTATTTCAGTTCCCTATTTCAAATTTATCTTTATGTTCATGTTGGTGCCTGAGTATAACTTAATTTGTGAATTAAGAAATAAAAGCTGTCACAGTGACTCATGCCTTCAAACCAACCACTTTAGGAGGCCGAGGCAGGTGGATCACTTGAGTTCTGGAGTTTGAGAACAGCATAGACAACATCTGGAGACCCCGTCTCTACAAAAAAAAAAAAACCCTTTTATTAAAAATTTTTTAAATTAGCCAGGCATGGTGATGGATGCTTGTGGTCCCAGTTACTCAAGAGGCTGAGGTGGGAGGATAACTTGGGTTTGGGAGGTTGAGGCTGCAGTGAGCTGTGATTGCACTATTGCACTCCAGCCTGGGTGATGAGGGGTGGGGGGAGAGACCCTGTCTAAAAAAAAAAAAGAGAGAGAAATGAATGCATTGCATCTGGATTTGATACACAAATTTTATTTCTGTGTTATGGAAAAGCCTAATATTTTACAGTAGTTTGAACAGAGGGAAGTGATAAAAGAATTAAGTAACTGCACAGCACACAGTAGCATAGGTACATAGAATGCCAAATCTGTACTATTTGGTTTCAACAACAAAAAAATTATTCATTACATTAAATCAATAGTGTTTATCTTAATTTTATAAGTATTATAAGTACTTTATATTTAATTGGTTAAAACAACTTAAACGTTGAAGCTATAACTATAAATAGTTTATATTTACTGTTAGTAGTATATATTTAATCAAAAAACTAGACACATTATTGTTAATTTTGGGGATGAAAGGAATGTCTCTCTCTCTTTTTTTTGGACATAGGGTTTTGCTCTGCCACTCAGGCTGGAGTGCAACAACATGATTCCACACAGCTCACTGTAGCCTCCAATTACAGAGCTCAAACAATCCCCCCACATCAGCCTCTTGAGTAGCTAGGATTACAGGCATGTACCACAAGTCCTGGGTAATTTTTTCTATGTTTTGTAGAGAGGAGGTCTCGCTATGCTGCCCAGGCTGGTCTGGAATGCCTGGCCTAAAGTGATCCTCCCACCTCGAACTCCCAAAGTACTATACTGGGATTATAGGCATGAGCCACTATGCCCAGCCAAGATGCTTCTTTTAAAAGGGATATTTATATTAGTCAATATTGAAAAACACTATAGGATATGATATATAACTTAAGGTATGAGATCATAAATTATAATACTTAAAATCTATAGATATGAAACATAATTCTGAACCTTTCATATTACAACATTACATTTTACATACACACAATTCATAACAATGAAGTGTTATGACAAGACATTACCTTAACAATTTCATAATGTATGATCATTAGGAAAGTTAAAGAAAAATACATACTTTAGTGGGATATCTAAATAACTTCACAAATCCCAAATCATCCCCAGTAGCTAGAACCATTTTGTCATTGGTGAGGCAAGAAGCAGTTACATCTGTAACTTCGCCAATTACTGGCCAAATTCCTTCACAGCATAAACCAAGTACACTTGTCCATGATGCCCAAGCAATTTTTTCTACCTAGAAAGGAAAAACATTGCTGTACATTTAGATCATCCAAACCTAAAATATCAACAACCAAAATGTTAACATTTTTCTTTGTAATTATGTGTGTCATAAGTAAAATTAAAGTTTTAATGAAAAAATGGTTAAATTATTAGTTGTCTTGGTTATGTAGCTCCCCAGAGCCTACTAGTTGCTGTAGAAAAATTTTAACATAGCATTATTCAGAATATAATTATATATCCACCGGGTGTTCTAGGTGCTAAGCATATAGCAATAACAAATAAAACTCTTTCTGGCTTTAGGATAATCAAAAAAGATTCTTACAGTTCACGGTTAAATTTCTAATAATGCATTATAAGCATGTTTTCCAACTAACCCTTACTAGAAATTTAGAACTTTTACTTGTGAACTCTCTCTTCATTAAACCACTTTCATGTTAAATCTGTTGAGCCTCTCTTCCTAGACCATGTTAATAAAAAAGGCTAATATTGTTAGGCACAAATGCAACACAATTTTTCTTGTCTTTTTGTTTGTTTTTTAAAATAATAATCTGCCAACAAATATGTTAGGCATATGGAGTCCTAAGGACGAGGCAGATATGCAGTATTCTATAGATGGCATATTTTCTATTTGCTATTTCATGCTTATCTTTTGAGGAAAGCAACTGGAACATAGCTAGCCATGCATGTGATTTATTCTTTTTTCTTTTTTTTAAATACAGGATCTCAACTTTGTCACCCAGGCTGGAGTGTAGTGGCATGCACATGGCTCACTGCAGCCTCCACCTCCCAGGCTCAAGCAATCCTCCCACCTCAGCCTCCCAAGTAACTGGGACTACAGGCACATGCCACCACACCTGGCTAATCTGTTCTATTTTTCTGTAGAGATGGGGTTTCACCATGTGTCTGGGCTGGTCTTGAACTCCTAAGCACAAGCGATCTGCCGGCCTCAGCTTCCAAAGTGTTGGGATTACAGGCGTGAGCCACCATGCCCACTGACTCCTTTTATTAATACAGTATTTTTTCCTTTACCTATCTATTCTGACTTAATAAAATAAACTCACTCAAGAATATTCATTATTTTAATAATTTGAGAACAGAGTTCACCTGTACCTAAGTAAGAGAAAGCAGGTATCAGTTTTCCAGCCACTCTTACTCACATAAACAACACTACAAGCACCACTATTTTCCTACCTCCATGCTGGGGATAGTTTGTTTTTTCCCTCTGGGAGCTTCAAAGAATAATTGTTCTTTAGCACCAGTGTTGACCTGTAAAAGCTTTCCTTAAAAAAAATTTTTAAAAATATTTACATATATAAAAAACATATACATATATCATCAGTATGATGTTTAAGTTTTCTGAGAAAAATTCAGCTTAAATATAAAAAACATTTTCTGCTGTAGTCAATATATAGTAAGAGCATTTGATTTTTTAAAATTCCATAAAATTAACTAAATTAATAAATGGTTTGATATTTTGTGTGTGTACACACACATACACACACACACACACACACACACACACACACAAATGATTTCTTTGGTGATGCATATAAAAAAACTCCTAGAAACAAATGTTGGAATTTTTTTAAAGTGTAAACATCTGTTTGACAATATTTAGAAAAACTTTATGATACTCAATTTATATAGCTGAATACATGAAACAATAAAATCCTTAAAAAGAGAGCATTTAAAATATTTAACATATTTCAAACATATTAAATACAGTCATATGCCATGCATTCTGCAAAGATACAAAGATACTCATTAAGTTCTTTATGTTACATGATTATGACTATTATTAAAGAATATATTTCATAACAATGAGAAAAATGACTTTAAAGTCCTCAACATTTCTTTTTAAAATTTATTTTATTTTTTTAGGAATGGGGTCTCACTCTATTGCCCAGGCTGGTCTCAATCTCCTGGGCTCAAGTAGTCCTCCAGCCTTGGCCTCCCAAAGCACTGGAATTGCAGGTGTGAGCCAGCATACCTGGCCAATATTTCTATTATTCTATTTATATGACAAAGATCAAGACATCTATCAACAATTTTTTGCACAATATTTAAATTACAAATTAAACAACTAATCACTCACTGTACTATTATTTGAATATTAGGTGTAGGCTGGGTGCAGTGGCTTACACCTAGAATCCCAGCACTTTGGATGCCAAGGTGGTAAGACTGCTTTAGTCCAGGAGTTAATAGGCAATATAGTGAGACACTGTCTCTACAGAAAATTTAAAAATTAGCTGGGCATGGTGGTGTGTGCCTATAGTCCCAGCTACTCAAGAGGCTGAGTTGGGAGGATCACTTAAGCCCAGGAGGTCAAGGCTGTAGTGAGATGTGATTGCACCACAGCACTCCAGCCTGGGTGACAGAGTGAGACCTGTCTCAGAAAAAAAAAAAAAAAAAAAAAAAACCAGAAAAAGTCTCAACTCTATAGTGTTCATCTTCAGATGTAAAACAGTAAAAAACAATTTTGAGAATAATGGTTGTTTTCCCAATGCTTTTGAATTCACCTGTTGAATCACTTTTCTGCTTCTCTAAAATAGGTATACTAAATCAAATGAAACTTTTATCAAATATTAAGTTATTTAAAGTCTTACCTCTAATGTCCCAATCAATATGAGTTATGTAACTGGTAGCTCCTTTGCATATTCCTACTCGTTTACTGCTCATTACATTGTATATATCTATAAAGCTGTCATGGGATGCTACAGCTAGATATTTCCCAGAACCTATAACAGAAACATATTTGCTTGACATTTTCTCTTTAGAAATATTTTTTTACACTCTACAACTAGAGTTAATTTTCCTTTTCTTTATGGAGAAATCTTAGTTATTTCATAAATTATAATAAGACAGATAAGTCAAGTGACAAATGATAATATTTTCAAGTATATTATAATTAACAAAATAATTTTTTAGTGTAACAAACTAGTTCAGTGGCAAGCAAATGTCAAAAACTATATATGATGTAGTTTTGATTTGTATTAAACAAAAATACTCCCTCTAAATTTAGAAAACATGGAACTAAACCAACACAAGTAAATTCTGCCTTAACATTAGTAATTGCTACATTACAGTAGGTTTGTAGTAGATAATGAATACATGAAAACTGATGGAGTAAAATGAGTGCAATTTCAAAAGCATTAAGAATAATATAATGAAAACAGTTATCCAACCCCTTTTATGTCACAAATGAGGAAACAAAAGCTCAGAGAAGCATCCTGGCTCCAGTTACACAAAAAATTTAGTAACAGAATTGACACTAAGACAGATATTTGCATTAATCTAATAACATGGCTTTTATACACTGCCTTTTCTAGTAAAAAAGTTAAGTTCTGAAATAAAATAACAGTTAATAAAAATTATACACTGATACATTTACACACCGCCAGACCCAAGTTAATGCTCAAATACAATTTCAATGAATCTTACCAGGTGAAAATCGAATATCTGAAATCATATCTTTTCTGTGATGAAAAGACACGAGATCCTCTAGAGTATCTGCATTTGCCATTAAGAAGCTTCCATCATTAAGACCTACAGCTAAAACTTTACCATCAGGAGAAAAACAGCAACACCTCCCACCTGAAAGAGAAAGAGTATATTAGGCAATTTTCCCTTATTTAAAAAATGTATGGGCCATGTGTGGTGGCTCATGCCTATAATCCCAGGAGTTTAAGACCCCATCTCTACCAGTAGGCAGGGTGGGGGAAGAGGGGAAGGGGCAAGGGGAAAAGGGAAAGGGGCAAGAGGGAAGAGGGAAGAGGGAGAGGGAAGGGAAGGCAAGTAAGTAAGTAAATAAATAAACAAATAGCCAGTCATGGTGGCACACACCTGTAGTCTCACTTACTCAGGAGGCTGAGGCGGGTGAACTGTTTGAGCCCAGGAGGTTGAGGCTGCAGTGAGCTATGATTGCACCACCGCACTCCAGCCTGGGTTACAGAGTGAGACCTTGTCTCAAAAAAAAAAAAAAAAAAAAAAAGTAATTTAGGGCCAGGTACAGTGGCTCAAGCCTGTAATCTAGCACTTTGGGAGGCCAAGACAGGTGGATCATGAGGTCAGGAGATTGAGACCATCCTGGCCAACATGGTGAAACCCTGTTTCTACTAAAAATACAGAAATTAGCTAGGCATCATGGCGCATGCCTGTGGTCCCAGCTACTCGGGAGGCCAAGTCAGGAGAATCGGTTGAACCTGGGAGGCAGAGGTTGCAGTGAGCAGAGATTGAGCCACTGCACTCCAGCCTGGCAACAGAGTGAGACTCCAACTCGAAAAAAAAAAAAAAGTATTTGCTAAAAGAATTTTTATTTCAAAAAGGTTGCCTCTTTATTATGGCCTCAAATCAATATTAAAAAGGGGTCAAGAGATACAGATAAAGTTTTCTATAGAAGTCAATGTTATGAAATTCTAATATTTACCTTAAAAGAAATTAAATTGATGAGAAAGAATGAGAGATTTAAATTAACATAAAAAGTCAATAACATATGTGGAAGTTTTTTTTTTTTTTTTTTTGCAGAGTAGGTTTTACCTTTGTAGCTTCTTTCTAACAAGACAGAAATTTAAGAAATAAGTCATCTTCATAATTTTTTTTTTGAGATGGAGTTTCACTATTGTTGCCCAGGCTGAAGCACAATGGTGCAATCTCAATTCACTGCAACTTTCGTATCCCAAGTTCAAGCAATTCTTCTGGCTCAGCCTCCCAAGTAGCTGGGATTACAGGCATGTGTCACCAGGCCTGGCTACTTTTGTACTTTTAGTAGAGACAGGATTTCACCATGTTGGTTAGGCTGGTCCCAAACTCCTGACCTCAGGTGATCCACCTGCCTCGGCCTCCCAAAGGGCTGGGATTACAGGCGTGAGCCTCTGTGCCCGGCCAATAAAATATTTTTAAAAATCTGATAATAGGCCATTATTAGTTTAAGGTAGGAAGATCTATGTTTCAAAAACACATATGAAATATTAATATTAATTTTATTAATGATAGAATGAATGATATTCATTAATGTCATTAAAGATGTTAACATTAATTTGTAAAAGTAAGGGTTAATGCTGCATTGGTAAACACAAAAAAATGGGCTTACCCTAACAGCAAGAGTTGCAGCAGGCATATTCAAAAGCCCTAAGGATTTTGGTATCTTGTATGAAATCTGATGAGGAAAGGACAGGGTATACACAGAATGAAAAGTTATAGAATAAATTGAGAACAAGTAGTCATTTAATTATCAAGCAAACATTGGAAATGAAGAAATCTAAGATGAGATTTCTCAGATTTGAGAGTCAAGAGATGATGATGACCTGGAGCAGGGTGGCAGCAGTGGAGGTGATGAGAAGATGAAAGATTTGGATATATTTCAAAGGCAGAGCTGGCAGGACTTGACCAACTGGATGTGGAGTGAAAGGTAAGTCAAGGGCATGTTTTTGCTTGAGTGGTGATGCCATTTACTGAGATGGGATAAACTAGAGGAGGAACCAGTGCTTAGTTCTGTACAAATTAAGTTAAGATGCCTATGAGAAGTTCAAGTGAAGACATGAAGGAGACAATTTAGTATATTAATCCTTTCCAGGAGCTTAAGGGAGAACAGATGGGATATAATAAGGGACACGGTCAGACACAGATAGTAGTTACAACCATAAACTGGTTAAGAGTTTGTTATTAATTGATTTCCTCTCAGCTCCAAATCCAGCCTTCTTTTTCCTGCTATGTGATACTGAAGCTGAATCCTGTAGATATGTTTTCCCTTGCTAGCTGACTTGATTTTTGCCAGTAGATATACTGGAGGGACACTGCAAGGCCAAAGCACAAGGAAAAGACTTCTTCCTTCTTACTGTGTGCTGGAGCCAGAGGGTCAATGGAGGGTGTGAGGGTGAGGGGTTGGGAGCAGGGGGCCTGGCAGGGAGGGTCGCTGCAATCACAGATTTCCTAGATCAGCTTTGACCCATGTCCTCTGGCACATTTCTTTACCATTGGCAGGTTGTGCTTTTCTGTGGCACCCAGATACTCTACAAAGAGATCTGAATCTCATCCTAGGGTAGAGACGAAGGTCCATCCTTCCCCTTCATGAGGTTCATTCTTCATTAGTCTTATGGGTAGGAGCTGCTTTCTGCAGTTGCTACTTCTGAGTTGCATATGAAACATCTATTAAAACATTATTACCTCCCTAAGCTTTTAGATTTATCCCTCTCCAACAGGGGTCAGCCTATGAGTGACACCCTTTGGAGTCCTCTTTTACACCTTTTTAAACCACCTTTAATGAGTTAACATGTCATATTAAATTTTCTCTGTTCAAATTACTGGGGGTAATTTCTGTCTCTTGACAGATATAGAATTGATACTGAAGTGGTCTCCGGAGATAGACTAGCAAAGGTGGATTGGCTTAGTCATGCCTTTGGGCTTGAGTAGAGTGCTGAGTCCTTACCAATGGGAAATGAAATGCTAACAACCCAAGGTATACATTGGCATCACAATTAATCAAGTTATTTCCTACTGTTGATTATGATAAAGTGTCTAATGAGCTAAGCACCTTGGGAGCCCACAAGGTTGCTGCCCTTAGCATTACCATAATGATGATTATAAGGACTGTGGTGTGCAGTAGATTTTACTGACAGTGTGAAACATGTACAGAAATAAGTAAAACTCAGGTCTTTAAACTATCAGCATGAGTTGTGGTTTAAGCAGAGAATGTTTCCATGGGAAGTCTAAAATAATCTCTGGCATCTTAAATCCACAGGACTGATATCACTAAACATTAAACACAAATTTAATTGTGTGAATTTCAAATTGACAATGTCAATTGAATTGACAGCCTTACCAAGTTTTTTATATGAATGTCAGGGCACTAACTGGGCACTCTGAAGTTTGGAATGGGGATATCTGGTTGGACTTAAATAAAGCTGATAAACTCAAACTTCTGTGTTATTCTGAGTCTCACTTTCCAGTGCAAATAGCTTGCTTTCCCTGTTTCTGAGCAGTCTGACCTTCTGGGGCAGTTGCCTTGCAAGGAAATGCTCATCTTTCTGAAGAATCACCATAACCACTCCTTTGCTGTTACTAGACTCAACGTGGGTCAAACTCCAGCATACTCTAGGACAGAGATCAGCAAACATTTTCCTAAAGAAACAAATAGCAAATATTTTAACTTTGCGCACCATATGGTCTCTGTCACAAATACTCAGCTCAGCTATTGTAGTGTGAAAGCAGCCGTAGATGATACATAAATGAATGGGCATGGCTGTGATTCCATAAAATTTTATTTACAAAATCAGGAGGTGGGCTGGCTTTGACCCACGGGCTGACAACCTGATGGAGGGGAATGAATCTAAAAGCTTAGGGAAGTAAGAATGTTTGAATAGATTTTTCTAGTCAAAAAAAGAAGATTTTTCTTTTTCTTTTTGGAAACAAAGTTTTATTCTTGTTGCTCAGGCTGGAGTGCAATGGTGTGACCTTGGCTCACCACAACCTCCACCTCCTGTGTTCAAGCAATTCTCCTGCCTCAGCCTCCCAAGTAGCTGGGATTACAGGCATGTGCCACCACACCTGGCTAATTTTGTCTTGTTAGTAGAGATGGGGTTTCTCCATGTTGCTCAGGCTGGTCTCAAACTCCTGACCTCAGGTGATCGGCTTGCCTCGGCCTCCAAAAGTGCTGGGATTATAGGCATGAACCACTGTGCCCAGCCTTGAATAAATTTTTCATATGAAACCTGCACACCGATCTACCAACTACATCCCCCAAGAAAGTCTAGAAAATAGTCCGTTCACTAATACATTGGAAAATATCTTAAGGGCAGCATCTGCATCTCAAAAAGCTCTGTGACTGTTCTCATACATAAATGACCATAGTACAAGTTTGTCCAAACTGTGACCCATGGGTGGCATGCAAGCCAGGACGGCTTTGAGTATGACCCAACACAAATTTGTAAGCTTTCTTAAAACATCATGAGATTTTGTTTTGCGATTTTTTTTAACTCATCAGCTATCGGTGTTATTTTATATGTGGTCCAAGATGATTCTTCTTCCAATGTGGCCCAGGGAAGCCAAAAGATTGGACACCCCTACCATAGGAGATGTTGCCATTGTCAGAGCTTCCCTGATTTAACTGAGATAATCATGGAGAAGCAGAGGCCAAGTAGTAGCACTTAACCAGCCCACCTCCTGATTTTGTAAAGGTAGATGCTTTCACAGAAAAGGACAGGAGAAATGTAGTGATAATCAGAATGTTTTAGCCTGTGGAGACTCGAGACTCCTGTTGGTGGCTAATGAATCACGTTTATTTAGGAATGAAGTAGATGGGTAGGCTACTAGATGAATGTTTGATTTATTTAGTAGAGAAACCTCCATACATGGTGACTAGAAGCCTGACTCAAATTAAATCATCATAATGGAGAATCACGGATTCTCAGTCAGTTTTCACACCTAAGACAATTCATATACTTAGAGCTCCTTGATTGAAGAAAAGGCCAGACAATGAGGAAGGACCAAGTAGCACTACCACAAGTCTAGAATAATATATTTCTTTGAGGACTCTGTGGCCTCTTATTATAGAACAATGGTGAACTGGGGAAATTGAAATGCTCAGATTTTCAGGGATTACTAGACACTAGACATAGGCTCTGAATTGATAATTCTTGGGAACATAAAATGCTGCTGCTGTATACCAGTCAAAGTGGGAGCTTATGGTGATCCTGTGACAGATGGAGTCTTAAGCCAAGTTTCAATCACAGTAGGCCAAAATGGTCTGTGGAACCTATCCAATTCCTGAATTAAAATAGATATATGTGGCAACTGGTAGACTCCTCCACATTGGCTCTATTATCCATGGGGTAAGAATCATTATAATAAGAACTAAGTGAAAATCCCTAGAAATTCTCCTCCCTTCCAAGGCGAAAAACCAGAAACAAAAACTCAAGCCTGAGAATTGCAAAAATCAATAATACCACCACAGACTTGAAATATGCAGGAGTCCAAATACCTACACCACATTACCACGTAAACTTGCCTGTTGGGTCTATGCTCAATTTAGACTAATTTGAGATAATAACTGTGGATAATAAATTTAATCAGATGGTGGCTCCAACTGAAAGCCGTTCTTCCAAATGTAGTATCTGTCCTGGAACAAATCAATACAGCCCCTAGCACTTGGTATGCAGCTACTGCCCTGGTTAATGTTTTTCTCTCCATGTTAATTTGTAAGGATCAGTAGACGCTGTTTGTCTTCACCTGGCTTATACCTGAGTACACCTTCAAAGCCTTGCCTCAGGACTATTTTCAATTCTCTGTTCTCTGCCATAATACCATCCACAGATATCCTTGACATTCCGCAAACCATTTACATGGCCCACAACATTGATGACATTATGTTGAGTGGATCTGGAGAATAGGCAGCAACAAGTACTTTAGAAACCTTAGAAAGACATATGAATCAAGAGAGTGGCAGATAATCCCTGAAAAAAATTCAGGGATCTGCAACCTCAGTGAAGTTTCTGGGTGTCCAGTGATCTGATATGTATCAAGATATTCTCTACAAGGTGAAAGACAAGTCACTGTATCTGCCACTGCCTGCTGTGAACAAAATGAGCCAAATGTTTGGTAGGTCTTTTGAAAGCAACATATACCACACTGAGTGGCTGCTTCTACCCATCTACCAAGTCACTTACAAGGCTTCCAGCTTCCAGTGAGGACCAGAGAAAAAGAAGACAAGCTAGTCTTCCTCTTGGGCCTATGATCCAGTATATCTAATCATACTCAAAGTGTCTATGGTAAATAGAAATGCTCTATAGATCCTCTGGAGGCTACCAAAGGAGAATCATACTGCAGAACTGTAGGACTTAAGAGCAAATCTATGTCCTCCTTTATGGATAATTATTTTCCTTTTGAGAAGCAGCTTCTTGCTTGCTACCAGACCTTATTAGAGAGCAAATGCCTAACTACAGGATAGCAGGTAACTACGTGTCCTGACCTTCCTATCACAAACTGGAAGTTACATGACCAACCAAGCCAGAGATTGGGTATGCACAGCAGCAATATATCAAGTAGAAAAGATCAAGCTTGAAAGGTCTGGAAGTTACAAGTAATTTACATGAACAGGTGCCTCAAAATCCTTCAAAAATTTCTGCTGCAATGCCTCTTCCCACTCTCAGTCTTTACGGCCTCATGGGTGTTTCTTATGATAAGCTCGCTGAGGAAGAAAAAATTCTGAGTCAGACTTAAGTTTCTTGTTTTTTGTTTGTTTGTTTTTTGAGACAAAGTCTCACTCTGTCACCCAGGCTGGAGTGCAGTGCTGCAATCTCGGCTCCCTGCAACCTCCGCCTCCTGGGTTCAAGTGATTCTCCTGCCTCAGCCTCCCGAGTAGCTGAGATTACAGGCACGTGCCACCACACCCGGCTAATTTTTTTTTTTTTTTTTGTAATTTTGAGATGGGGTTGCACCATGTTAGCCAGGATGGGTTTGATCTCCTGAGTCAGACTTAAGTTTCTATTGATATGTTGGTACCTATTTGAAAGCACTACAGCCCCACTCAGAAGTGACCCCCCAAAAATAGCAGTGAAGGTAAAATCTCCCAATGGAAGCACTTCAAGAAGTCTACTTGGTTTTCCACTTTGAAGTGAGAGATGACCGCATGTGCAGATTTACACGGGTTCACTAGTAATTGCTAACAATTTGGATGAACGGTAGGGACTTGGAAGAAACAGGAATAAAATATTAGAGGCAAGGAAATATAGAAAGTGGATGTGTGGATGAAATTCTTGGGACAGGCCATGAAGGTTTGTGTTCTAAAAAATACTCATCAAAGTATCCAATACAAAGGAGGCTCTAAATAATCAGATGAAAAAAAAAAATGATACTCTCTGAGGATATCAGTCAGCCTCTTTTCCTAGCTACCTAGCACTTGCTCAGTGGGCTCACAGTGGTGGCAAGGGCAGAGTCTATGACTGGGCTAAAAAATGTGGACTTCTTGGCAAGGTTGATCTTGCTATCACTACTGCTGAGTGTCTAATCTATTAACATAAAAGATCAATGGAACCTCTGATATGGCACCATTCCCCCGGAAGAAAAGCCAGCTACTTAATGGCATTCTAGTTACACTGGCCTCTTTTGCTATGGAGGAGGCAAAGATTTACACTCAGTAGAATAGTCATGAATTCTGGATTTGCTTTCCCTGATCATAATGTTTCTACTGGCATCACCATCTGTGGACACACAGGATGCCTTAACTACCATCACAGAATTCACACTTCTGACAAAGGAATTCATCTCATAGCAAAGAATGTGTAGCCTTAGGCTCATACTCTTGGAATTAACTGGTTCTATCACCTACTCTCATTTCCTAACTGAAGACTTATATGTGGCACCATTTGGGGAACAACACCTCAAAAGACTGGGTATTTGTTTTATAGGATGCAGTATAAGTTCTGAATCATAAACCATTATACAGCGCTGTCTACCTCATAGCCAGAATTCAGGGGTCTGGAAATCAAAAGATGAAATTGAGAATGGCTCTTCTATTATATCTAATAATCAATTTGCACTATTTTGCTTTGCATCCTGGCAACTCTGAACCCTGTTGATTCAGAGCCTTCGCTTCCAAGAACAGGGGGAATGCTTTTACTAGGGGATATAACAATAGTTCCACTGCATTGGAAGATGAGACTGCCACCTAGCCATGGTGGGGCTCCTTATGTCACTAAACCAACAGAAAAAGAATGAAGGTATTACTCTTCTGGCTGGTGTGATTGATCCTGATTACAAAGGGGAATTGAGTTGCTGCTACATAATGAAAGCAAAGAGGCTGTCTGGAACACAGAAATTTGCTGGGACACCTCTTAGTTCCTCCATGACCAATGGTAAAGCTTAATGGAAAATGACAGCAACCAGGGGAAAAGGGGGATTTCTTCAGATGCTTCAATAATGAAGGTTTGGGTCACCCCACTACTTACACTACCACAATCACCTGTGGCTAAGGGATTGTGGCTAAGGACAAGAAAAATATGAAATGGTTAGTGGAAGAAAGAAGTTATAGATATCAACTACAGCCTTATGACCAGTAATGGAAATGAAGACTATACTAACTTTGCATAAATGTTTATTATATGTATATCTTTATTTGTACATATGAACTATTTTACTTTTCTCTCTACAATATTTTATACGAGCTTGTTGGAGGTTAATTTAACAATTTTGTGTTAAGATAAAAGAATATTCAGTAAGACTGTGATTAAACTTGAGAATAATTAATATAGTCAGTAATGCATATGATGACTGTTGTAACTGTATGTCTTCTCTCTCTAGAGGTAAGAACTACTTCACTTGTACCAAGGGTAGCTGCATCTCTTTGGGTAGAAACATAAGGTTAGTTCTGTGGTTGTACTAAGTTTACATGTGTGTAGAAAGGTTCATGTGGATGCTGATTAACCAGAGGGAAAGACTGTTTGTTATTAATTTTTGCCTCTCAGTTCCATATCTACCATTCTTTGGGCCTCACACTTTTTTTTGCTAGTTGACCGACACTAAACTTCGCCAGTAGAGGGAGCTGCAGAGACACTACAAGGCCAAAAGTAACTCCCTTCTTCCAGTGTGCTGTTTCACAGGGCCAGGGCACCAGCATGAAGGGGGCTTGACACCACAGTGGCAGTCCCAACTGCCTCTTCCAGGAAGTTTCTCCACCTTCACCCTGACAATTTAGCTGCAATTTGCAGACTTCAGTAAGATTCTCTGGCAGTAGTCCTCTCAGTTCAGTGACTTTTGCCCTAGGTTAAGCTCTTCACCAAGTGGTGGTTCTGACCATTCAGCTCTGGCAAGCTTCTCCTTCATCAAGTGACTACTCTCACTGTTCCACTGAGGGCTGTACCCTCTGGCTAGCTTTTTTGCCACAAGCTCACTGGATGTTCTGGTGGCAGCTATACCATTTTCAAACAGGTCTGAATCTCCTTTACCTTGTTTGTTCACTCTCCTTTAGAACTAGGGTTAGTAGCTGCTTTCTATGGTGGCTACCTCTAAGGCTTTTTCAGTAGGTAATCACCTTTTACTAGTTAGCAGTTCTTTTTATTAAATTCCCACTGTTCAAATAACCCTACAAGTCTCTGTCTTCTGACTGGACAGTGACAGACTGAATCTAAAGTGTGAGTGTACATATGAAAAGAAAAGTCTTGGGAGAAGCCCTGGAGCATTCCTAAATGCAGTGTGCAGGAAGAAGAGACAGACCTAGCAAAGGAAACAGAAAAAAAGGAGTCAGTGAAGTAGAGAGCAAAAACTGACATTCATAAGTTGCAGAGATAAGTGAATAAAGTAGTTCAGTAAAAAAAATAATAATAATAAATTGTGTCAAAAATTGCTGTGAGGTGAATACACTGAGAACCAAGAACTGATTAACAAATTGGCAGCAGGTTAAATGGACAAATAGGGACAAAAGCCTAATTGGGGTGGGTTGTGGAGCTACTGTCATGTGAGCACACAGAGAATGGAGCCTCAACAATATTGAGGAGTTCTGCTACAAGAGAGGAGTAGAGAAACAGATCAGTACTGAGGTCAATTATCACAGTTCCCTGTTTTACTCAATGCTTATTCTGCTGGTTGGGTGCAGGAATAAAGCAGGTAGAAAGTTGAGTTTAAGCAAAGATTAACATAGTAAGTATCGTTTTAAATTTATAGCTGACATCATTGGAAAATAAACATGTTTTAGGTATCAAAAATAAAAGGGGAGCAGAAAACCAGAGTGAAAAAGCCACATTTGGTGGGGTGGTGGGGGGAGGAGGCAAGATGGTCAACTAGAAACAGCTGTGGTCAGAGGCTCCCACGGAGAACAAAAACGGCAAGTGAATCCTGCGCCAGCAACTGAGGTATACAGGTTATCTCATTAGGACTGACGAGGTGGTTGGCGTGACCCACAGAGAATGAGGAAAAGCAGGGTGGAGCAATGGCTCCCTTGGGAGCGGTACTGGACAAGGGGAGCTCCCACTCCCAACCAAGAGAGGCAGTGAGTGACTGTGCTTCCCTGCCGAGGAAACCACACCTTTTCCATGGATCTGTGCAACCTGTGGATCAGGAGATCACGACCTCGTGAGCCCAAGCCACCAGGGTCTTGGGTCCCAAGAACAGAGCTATGCAGACTGTCAGTGGCCACCTGGCTGGGGACTGCCAAAAACTACCAAGTTCCTTGGGGAAGGTATGGCCGTCAACACTTTGGCTGCCTGCTGCCTAAGATGACTGAGCTCCCTCGGGGACGGGCAGCAGCCATCATTGCAGCTCCAGTCTGCCATTTCTCCCCTGCTGGTGCCTGGGAAAATGAACAGTTTAGACCCAGGAGGAATTCACCACAGTGCAGCACAGAGGCTGTGGCAGACGGTGGCTGGACTGCCTCTTTAGGTCTGACCCTGAACCATCCCTCCTCACTGGGCGGGGCCTCCCTCCAGGAATTTCAGCAACTCCAGCCAGAGGTTTGTAGACAGAACTCTGATCTCCATGGGACTGAGCTCCTGTGGGGGCATCTGTGGTCTCCATGGATCAGCAGACTTTGTCTTTCCCTATGCTGGCTCTGAGGAATCTGGGCAGTCAGGACCAGTGGGATTCCCCCCAGTGCGATGCACCCTCTCTGCCAAGGGGCAGTCAGAGTGTTTCATTAAGTGGGTCCTGGATCCTGTACCTCCTGATTGGGTGAGACCACCCCAGCAGGGGTCACCACACACCTTATACAGGAGCATTCCTGCTGGTATCAGTTCAGTGACCACCTGGGACAGAGATCCCAGGGGAAGGAGCAGGCAGCCACCTTTATCGTTCTGCAGCCTCCGCTGGTGACACCTTGAGGTCTGGAGTGGACCCCCAGCAAACCTAAGCAGCCCTATGGAAGAGGGGCCTGATTATTAAAAGAAAAACAAACCAACAAAAAAAAGCAACAACAATAAGAGCATCAACAAAAAAGTCCCCACAAAAACCCCATCAAGTTCAGCAGCCTCAAAGATTGAAGCCAGATAAACTCACAAAGATGAGATGGAATCAATGAAAAAATGAAGAAAACCCAAAAAGCCAGAGTGCTTCTTCTCTTTCAAATTATTACAACACCTCTCTAGCAAGGGTACAGAGCTGGGCGAAGGCTGAGACGGATGAATTGACAGAAACAGGCTTCAGAAGGTGGATAATAATGAAACTTGCTGAGCTAAAGGAACATGTCCTAACCCAATGCAAAGAAGCTAAGAACCATGATGAAACATTATAGGAACTGCTAACCAGAGTAACCAGTTTAGAGGGGAACATAAATGACCTGCTGAAAAACACAACAGAAGAATGTTACAAGGCAACCACAAGTATCAATAACTGAAAAGACCAAGAGGAGGAAAGAAATTTAGAGCCTGAAGACTATTTGGCTGAAATAAGATAGGCAGACAAGATTAGAGAAAAAAAGGAATGAACAAAACCTCTGAGAATTATGGAATTATGGAGAAAGACTGAACCTACAACCAAATGGGGTACCTAAATACAACAAAGTTGTAAAACATACTTCAGGATATCATTCAGGAGAACTTCCCCAACCTAACAAGACAGACCAATATTCAAATTCAGGAAATCCAGAGAACCCCAGTAAGATACTCCATGAGATCAACCCCTAACATATAATCATCAGATTCTCCAAGGTCAAAATGAAAGAAAAAATGTTAAGGGCAAACAGAGATAAAAGGTCACCTACAAAGGGGAGCCCATCAGACTAAGAGCAGGCCTCTCAGTAGAAACCCAACAAGCCAGAAGAGATTGGGAGCCAATATCCAACACTCTTAAATAATTTCCAACCCAGAATTTCATATCCAGCCATAAGCCTCATAAGCAAAGGAGAAATAAAATCCCTTTCAGACAAGCAAATGCTGAGGGATTTGGTCACCACGAGGCCTGCCTTACAAGAGCTCGTGAAGGAAGCATTAAATATGGAAAGGAAAAAGTGTTACCAGTCACTGCAAAAACACACTGAAGTACAAAGATCAATGACACAACAAAGCAACTACATCAAGTGGGCAAAATAACCAGCTAGCATCATGATGATGGATCAAATCCACACATAACAATATTAACCTTAAATGTAAATCAGCTAAATGCCCCCAATTAAAAGACTGAGAATGGCATACTGGATAAAGAGTCACGACCCATCAATATGCTATATTCAAGAGACCCACTCATGTGCAAAGGCACACATAGGCTTAAAATAAAAGGATGGAGGAAAAAGCAGGGGGTGCAATCCTAGTTTCTGACAAAACAGATTTTAAATCAGCAAAGATAAAAAAAGACAAAGATGGGCATTACATAATGAAAAAGGGGTCAATTGAACAAGAAGAGCTAACCGAAATATACATGCACCCAATACAGGAGCACCCAGATTCATAAAACAAGTTCTTAAGAGACCTATGAAGAGACGACTTAGACTCCCAAATAACAATAATGGAAGACTTTAACACCCCACTGTCAATATTAGATCATCAAAACAGAAAATTAACAATGATCTTCAGGACTGGAACTCAGCTCTGGAGCAAATGGACCTATAGACATCTACAGAACTCTCCAACCAAAAACAGCAGAATATACTTTCTTCTTGGTGCCACATAGCACTTACCCTAGAATCAATCACATAATTGAAAGTAAAACACTCCTTAGCAAATGCAAAAGAGCTAAAATCATAACAGTCTCTCAGACCACAGCATTATCAAATTATAACTCAAGATTAAGAAAATAATTTAAAACCACACAACTACATGGAAAATGAACAGCCTATTCCTGATTGACTCCTGGGTCAATAACGAAATGAAGGCAGAAATCAAGAAGTTCTTTGAAACCAGTAAGAGCAAAGAGAAAGATATCAGAATCTCTGGGATGCAACTAAAGCAGTGTTAAAAGGGAAGTTTGTAGCCCTAAATGCCCACATCAATAAGCTAGAAAGATCTCACATCACAACTGAAAGAACTAGAAAACCAAGAGCAAACAAACCCCAAAGCTAGCAGAAGACGAGAAATAACCAAGATCAGAGCAGACTAAAGGAGATAGGGACACAAAAGCCCTTCGAAAAAAAAAAGTAATGAATCTAGGGGCTGGTTTTGGAAAAACATCAGTAAAACAGACCATTAGCTAGATTAATAGAGAAGAAAAGAGGGAAGAATCAAATAGACACAATAAAAAAATGATAAAGGAGATATCACCACTGATCCCAGAAAAATACAAAAAACCATCAGAGAATCCTATAAACACTTCTGTGCAAATAAACTAGAAAATTTAAAAGAAATGGATAAATTCATGGACACATACACTCTCCAAAGACTGTACTAGGAAGAAGTTGAATACCTAAATAGACCATTAACAGGTTCTGAAATTGAGATAGTAATTAATAGCCTACCAATAAAAAACAGCCCAGGACCAGACAGATTTGCAGCTGAATTCTACCACAGGTACAAAGAGGAGCTGGTATAATTTCTTCTGAAATTATTTCAAACAACTGAAAAGGAGGGACTCCTCCCTAACTCATTTTATGAAGCCAGCAATATCTTGATACCAAAACCTGGCAGAGATGCAACAAAAAAAAAAAAAAAAAGAAAATTTCAGGCTAATATTCTTGATCAACATTGATACCAAAGTCCTCAATAAAATACTAGCAAACCAAATCCAGCAGCATATGAAAAACCTTATCCACCACAATCAAGTCGGCTTCATCCCCAAGATGCAAGGCTGGTTCAACACACACAAATCAATAAACATAATTCATCACATAAACAGATCCAAAGACAAAAACCACATGATTATCTCAATAGATGCAGAAAAGGCTTTCAATAAAATTCAACATCCCATCACATTAAAAATTCTCAATAAACTAGGTATTGATGGAACATACCTTAAAATAGTAAGACCCATTTATGATAAACCCACAGCGAGTATCATATTGAATACGCAAAAGCTAGAAGCATTCTCCTTGAAAACCAGCACAAGGCAAGGATGCCTTCTCTCGCTATTCCTATTCAACATAGTATTGGAACTTCTGGCCAGGGCAAGCAGTCTAGAGAAAGAAATAAAGTGTATTCCAATAGGAAGAGAGGAAGTCACACTGTCTCTGTTTCTGGATGACATGATCATATATCTAGAAAACCCCATTGTCTCAGCCCAAAAGTTTCTTAAGCTGATAGGCAACTTCAGCAAAGTCACAGAATACAAAATCGATGTGCAAAAATTACAAGCTTTCCTATATAACAACAATAAACAAGCAGAGAGCCAAATCATGAATGAAGTCCCATTTACAATTGCTACAAAGAGAAAAAAATACTTAGGAATACAGCTAACAAGGGAAGTAAAGGACCTCTTCAAGAACTACAAACCACTACTCAAGGAAATAAATAAAAGAGGACACAAACAAATGAAATAATTCCATGCTCATATATAGGAAGAATCAACATTGTGAAAATGGTCGCACTGCCTGTATTAGTCTGTTCTCACACTGCTATAAAGAAATACCTGGCTGGGCATCGTGGCTCACACCTGTAATCCCAGCACTTTGGAAGGCTGAGGTGGGTGGATCACTTAAGGTCAGGAGTTCAAGACCAGCCTGGCCAAGACAGTGAAACTCTGTCTCTACTAAAAAAACAAAAATTAGCCAGGCGCGGTAGTACATGTCTGTAATCTCAGCTACTTGGGAGGATGAGGCAGGAGAATTGCTTGACTCAGGAGGCAGAACTTGCAGTGAGCTCAGATTGTGCTACTGCACTCCAACCTGGGCTAAAAGGGTGAGATTTCATCTAAAAACCAACAACCACACACAAAAAAACGGAGACTACGTAATTTATAAAGAAAAGAGATTTAATTGACTCACACATCTACATTTCTGAGGAGTCCCCAGGAAACTTACTTTCCCCATTGTTTTGGAAATTAACATTCAGCTCCTCATTATTTATCCAAACTTCTAGAGCAGCTCGAAATTTCTCCCGAGAAATGGGATTTTCTTTCCTATCACATAGTAAGGCTGCAAATTTCCCAAACTTTTATGCTCTGTTTCCCTTTTAAAACTGAATGCTTAAATAGTACCAAAGCCACTCTGCTTTGAATACTCTGCTACTTAGAAATTTCTTGTGCCAGATACCGTAAATTATCTCAGGCAAGTTCAAAGTTTCACAAATAGCTAGGGTGGGGGCAAAATGCAGCCAGTCTCTTTTGCTAAAACATAACAAGACTCACCTTTGCTTCAGTTCCCAAGAAGTTCCTCATCTCCATCTCAGACCACGTCTGCCTGGATTTCATTGTCTGTATCATTACCAACATTTTGGTAAAAGCCATTCTACAAGTCTCTAGGAAGTTCCAAACTTTCCCACATTTTCCTGTCTTCTTCTGTGCCCTCCAAACTGTTCCAACCTCTGCCTGTTACCAGTTCCAAAGTTGCTTCCACATTTTTAGGTATCTCTTCAGCAGCACCCCACTCCACTGGTACCAACTTACTGTATTAGTCCATTCTCACATTGCTATGAAGATATTCCTGAGACTGGGTAATTTATAAAGGAAAGACATTTAATTGACTCACAGTTCCACATTGCTGAGGAGGTCCCAGGAAACTTACAATCATGGCAAAAGGCAAAAGAGAAGCAGGCACTTTTTTTCACAGGGTGACAGGATAGTGAGTGAAAGCAGGTGAAATGCCAGACACTTAATAAAACCATCAGATGCTGTGAGACTTGCTATCACCAGAACAGCACAGGAAAGACTTGCCCCCATGATTCAATTATCTCCCACCAGGCCCCTCCCACAACATGTGGGAATTCAAGATGGTTTGGGTGGGGACACAGCCAAACCATATCACTACCCAAGGTAATTTATAGATTCAATGCTATT